ATTATTATTATTATTATTATTATTATTATTATTATTATTATTATTATCATCATCATCATCATCTTAGGAAAAAATATAAAACAGACTTCAATGTTTAACAGAAACCCCCCTACCAACCAAATGCATGCCAATGATATAATGCAGGGGTGTCAAACTCAAATTCATCGGGGGCCGCATCAGCAGTTTGGTCCCCATCAAAGGGCCGGTTGTATCTGTAGGTCTATGTGTCCACTCTTTATTATCATAAATTAATGTCACTGCTTTCAATTATTACTGTTTTTTGTAATAATGTAAGTAATAACTAGCTCTGAAAGCAGAAACATAGTCAGAATAATGACAAGTAGATATTCAAATGTACAATTATTGTACAATGTATTGAAAAATGTTTTTTGGTAACAAACATTATTTTTTTTTAAACATACAAATATTGCCAAACACTGTTTATTAAACATATGGAAAACACAAGGCATTACCTTTTTTTAAACTTTTATAGTGCCCAGCCATGTGCCCCCTTTTAAAGTGCCCAGCCATGTGCCCCCTTTTAAAGTGCTCAGCCATCTGCCCCCTTTTATAGTGCCCAGCCATCTGCCCCCTTTTATAGTGCCCAGCCATCTGCCCCCTCCATTTACTTTACTTACCTTTTACTTCTTTCTTTCTTTTACTTCTTTCTTCTTGCTCCTCTCCGCGGCGTCCGCGCGCTCCTCTGATCCCTGGAGATGTCGGGCGGACGTCACGTGATGACGTCACGTCCGACGCCCAGGGAGCAGTGCGGGGCAGGAAGAAGTCGGGCCAGGTCCCGGAAGGTAAGTAATTTATTTTTTTTTAACTTGAGCCATTTTTAAAATGAATTTACTCCGTGCAGGCACGGAGTAAATTCATTGAAAAAAAAGGGGGGGAGGCTGCAAGGCTGGCGGCGGCACCGCGGGCCATCAGACGAGGTCTGGCGGGCCGGATTTGGCCCGCGGGCCTTGTGTTTGACACCCCTGATATAATGCATCAAGGAATAAATCTCACTCATTCACTCACTGACACATACACACACGCTTCTAATGTTTTTTGTCAGAAGAGAATAATTTGGTTATACATCTAGTCCAAAGCTCAAACCCATCTCAGATTGTATTTACTCAACGAGAGAGACTTCAAATGTACTCTCTCTGTTGGGTGATCTCAAGTTACATTAAATAGAGACTGTCCTTTATTCTTTGAAGTATGAACTCATTCATCTTCAACAGCAGTTAGTCAGGAATGCCTGGTAAATAGCTATATAATGTATATTGGCTCAAAATGTGCAGAACTGAAGAAGGAACACAACAAACTAATAAAAATGACAGAAATGATATTTTCCAGGGATGACAGAATGTCAAGCTATCAAGCTTTACTTTGATTACATATTGATTGCATTGTCTCAATCAATCCCATTTTTAAGGAACTATTGTTCACTGAGCTATTCGTATATTTTTGTATGCCTTTTTTTTAAATATAAAAAACTCCTGAAGGAGCACCTCCACCTTTCCTCCACTTCTGATTCAGGCAATGTGAGAAGCGTGCTTGAGAATTTTTGCTAATGGAATTGTGGACCCTGACATCCATGATCAGCCAACTGAAAAAAATAGTATTCAAAGAGACAGTCCAAACCAACCGAGAAGGCTGTGCATTTAAAAAGCCCTACAAAAGAGAAAGTATAATTGTAACCAAAGAGAGAAATTTATGTGAGCAACAACAAAAATATAACTATTGTATGTGAAACCACTAGGAAGAACGGCCTCCAGAATGTTTCTAAAAAATGTCTTTTCCAAACAATAGACATTGTCTAAAAATTAGCAATCACGTATCTAACCCCATGCGCCATATCTTAGGCATAACCCCATGAAGGAATGTTTTCACAATGAGTTCTGCACATTTACAGTATCACTCACAAATTTTCACTAGCTGAAACCAAATGTAATTTTGCTGGCCATCAAAGGCCTGTTTTTTCACTGTTTACAGGCATGACTGTGAAATATGCATTTTGTCCAATTTATTTGCAATGTTACATTATAGCAGATGATTCTGAAAGCAAATGATTCATAGAGAAAGCATACATGTATTAGTCTTCAGGATGAAAACAACTATTAAATGTTTACATGATGTAATACAGGACCTCCATATGTTTTCTCCAATGTAAGAACAGCTCCAGGAAAATTGTGCCTGCTTAAATTACATTACTCAACTAACAGAGCTTGAAAGCCAATATGGATTTCTCCAGACAGAACGTACATTGATAGCAAGATGAATATGGTTGTATCTTTGTCCTCAGCTTCCCAAATGCATCACGAAGCAATCATGAAACTCATCAGATAGAGTGACAGCTTTTTATAGAATTACAATAATTTGTCCTACTATTGCCAATACTTTATAGTGGTGAAATCACAATGAACTGTGATTAAAAGTTACCATATGTTGAGATACAGCCATTCATTTTCCAAACGGTCTTCAAAATACATTTGTCCTTGAATTATTTTAAGGCTGCTTTAACATAAAAAACCATATTGTAATTACTTTAACACAAAAGCCGTCTTGTAATTATTTTCAACATAAAAACATTCAGAACCAACATTGAGCACATTCTAAATTACTCATTCATCTAAGGCCATCTAGGAATGTGAAATTCAGATTTGTTGTGGCATTTGAATGAATTTCAGCAACTGTAACTTTAAACTTCATCCAGTTGGGGGTAAAAGGAAGCAATGAACTGAGTAATCTATAGAAGTTAATTGATAAAGAGGTAACTGCATTATAATTATGCATCTTCAAAATAAATGATTTGCTCAGAAACAAATATAAAAGAAACTGACTGAATAAAAGTGAACCAGATGAAGGTTTTTAAAGCTATTCTTTTAGTTTCATTAGTGTGGATTTACCCATACTTATTTATATAGAACAAGAAAAGTCATTATTTTATTTTTTCTTTCTCTTTCTTTTGCAAGCATGCCCCATCATTGGTCAATCTTCCCATAAAGCTGATGCAGAGCAAGGTTTGTTTTTTTTCCAACTGGAGTGTGTGAGAGACAGAGAAAAGTGGAACACCCAAATCTGTTGAGAAAAAGTAAGACACCTCTGCACAGTTTCCTTCCTACTGCCAAACAAACATACTGCAATCATTCTTTCCTCATATACAGATATAAGGAGGTAACTCATAGCAACACACTGGGCAAAAACGGTCTCTTATTTCCTTCTGATCAGACAAGAAGAAAAGCTGGGCAAGTTGGTTGCTTAGGAAGTTGCCATTCAGGGAGATCTCAATTTATGATTGTTCTGGTAGATATGTAAGGCACTAACTAACACTGGATTTGTTGCATGGCTAATCAAGACATATAAACCTTTTCTCCAATAGGCAAAGAAAATGGTGGGTGCTTCTCTGAAGGAACTATAAACTGCATTATCAATCCAATAATAAAACATTTGCTCTCTGTTCATTTTCAGGAGACAGGTACTCAATTTCAACAAGTCACTTGCTTTTCTTTCAGCAGACATTTAATGACCACCCTTTAAATATTTATCCTGTGCTGACAAGTTTTATCTTCTGCATTAATCTTATAGTTATCCTTTAGTAAGATTATTTAGCAGCCGAAAATGGATTTTACCATTTTAAAGTCTAGAAAAACATAGAAAATATTCTCACATGTAGAATTAGTCATCCTCTTACCTCAATCTGCTTCTTCAGTTCCCTTCCAGGACCCCTTCCCGAAGTAGTGGGTTCCCGTTGCAATGCATCTGCAAGGACATTAACTGTCGCTTCTGCTTCTTGTATCCACTTGAGGAACTTTTCAAGGTCTCTGAGCAAGGCATGTACCGTCTTCAGGTCAGCCTCCAAACAATTCTGCCTATTGCAAGTTCTATAGAAGGGAAGGAGGGAAAAAATCAGTGACTACAGGAAAGTGAGAAGACATTACTCTTTGGGTGACTCAGCACATTTGGCATGAATTTGTTATATGCTATGTACAGCTTTAGGAACTAGTGCTGTACTCTTTTTGTATTAAAACTTATGCCATAATTGTACTATATTTTATACTAAAATAATAACATGAAAACGTATGAAAACTACACAAGTCCTCCCCTTGATATGCACAAGGTACAAAACTGCCAGTACGAGGAAAAGAATGGCACACACCTGTTGGGGATTGTGAATGAGTAAATGGAAAAGCTTCTCACACAATGAATGCAAACAATTATTTGAACTTTATTTATTTATTTTATTGAATTTATATTGCCGCCTATTCACCCATGGCAACTCGAGGTGGCTTACAGAATGTAAAACCATATTTAAAATAAAAAACAATAAAAACTAACAAAAAGAATCAAACAAATTAATAAAGTACAATAGAACAAAATCTGGAAAAAAATAAATTAAAAAACCACCCCCCAACTCCCACCTCCCACCCAAAGACAGCAGATCGCATGAGCCATTTGATGGGCTCCATCCCGCTCTGGGTTCCCCAGGCCCACTGGCAGAACCAGATCTTCAGTGCCTTCTGGAAGAGTATTAGAGAGGGGGCCATTTTAATCTCTGGGGAATGATGTTCCGGAGAGAGAGAGAGCCACCACGGAGAAGGCCTTTCTTCTGCATCCCACCAGGTATATCTCACTCAGGAATGGGACCTGCAGCATTCCCTGACTCCCACTCTAATGGGTCAAGTAGACATTCCCTCAGATAAACTTGCGTATATATACAAATCACACAGTTGACGAAAAGTGGCATTGTAACAGTAGTGGCTAACCATTTTTGGGCTCTATAACCATTTTAACATAAGAAAGGCTAAATTACATGAAAGAAAATGGTTTTCACTTGATTCTGAAAAGAATACAATATATGCTAGGGATATCAACTGCAGAAGCTATTTCACAACTGACATACCATCAATGAAAAGATCCCCTTAGCAGAACCTCCTTCAATTCAAGTGAAATTAGGACCAAATCATTATTGCTTTAGATCAGGAAGTGGAAGTGACAGTCTTTTCTGTCTGACTGCGGGTGGGGGGGGAGGGGGGGGGAGAAACACAAATCCTGTATCTATCTATTAAATGTCAAAGGATGTTTTGGAAACAGATTCTGCTACATCTATTTCCGAGTCACAGCAAAAATTCTACGTATGTCACAAAACATATTTGGTCAGCTCCTCTTATCTCAATGGCAAGCTTGTCTTATCTTAAATTAATAATATATGGTACTTAACCTCCCTCTTCCCTTTTCTTCAGCTGCTGAACAGTTGGGTGTATAGATCTAGGTACATATATTATGAGAGTAGTCTATTATCCAAGAGATAGAATAAGGTACTAACTTATTACCTGCAGTGATTCACTTAACAACTGAAGCAAGAAAGGTCGTAAAATGGGGAAAAATGCACTTAACAAATGTCTCACTTAACAATATAAATTTTGGGCTCAATTGTGGTTGTAAATCAAGGACTACCTGTTTGAGAGTAAGAAGACCAATCAGCTCCCTTCCTTGTTACAGCTATAAGAAATGTCAGGCTTCTTGATTTAATCATACATACCACGATAAGAAAGAAAACAGTCCCCAATTTAAATCATATCTTGCTGCCCAGTAACATAATTTCTATTATTCACATCTTAGAAATGTGGAGGTGAGTGCACCTATGTATAATTTAGACATACACACCTGTGCTTCAGGTTAATCCATGAGGTATTCAAGTGATTCATAATTTCCTTCACATTTCTTGTGTCATCACCACTGTAATCTTGAAGAAGTTTACTTGACAGCTCATTAAATGAAATGATCCTGGCATCTCCTTTATCTAGATCTTGCATTAATATCTAAAAAGTAAATACACAGTAGTCAAAATCTCTAATCATTTAATTGCTGTTTTTCATTAAAAATTTATGAAGTTGACTAAACCAGCAATGGTGGAATGGGTATCAAATTCCTAGTGGTTTAATCCATGGGACTGAATGCTTTGCACCTTTTTGCAACCAGGGAACAATATCTATATCACCATTTCTATTAAGTTAAGCAAAGCAAACTGTTGCAACAAATCGTACAAATGAAAATTCAGGTCATACTCATTTTTCCCATTGTAGAAACAGAACATTACTTCTAGAAGTTGTTTTTCTAGAAATCTCATTCTTACATTTTAGTAGAGGAGAAGACAGAATTAGCAAGATTACCAATATGGAGGCTAAAATATCTGTCTTAAATTGAACATTTTCATTAGACTAAATGGACTGAAGGCAAAATGGGAGAGCAAACTGGGAAATGGATTACGAGCAAAACTCACTCAACAGATTTTATGAAGCAACAGTAGATAACAAAGGGAAAGATAACAAAAGTGGAAAGCAGGTTGAAGATTCAGCAACTGTACAATAGTATTATTTGACCAATGCGCCAAGCTTTTTCTTGTGCTTTTTAGAAAAGCTGCAGAAAATGAGAGAAAGCAGAAAAATTGAAAAAGAAAGACTGCATTAAATGGAGTTTGCAGCCTAGAGGCCATATAGAGAGAAATTGATACTCCGAGATCATTTCCTATGTTGAGACACAACCAGTGCCAGGGGTGTCAAACTTCATTTCATTGAGGGCCGTATCAGGGTTGTGTTTCACCTGGGGGGAGTGGCCAGAGTGGGAGTGGCCAACTTGACATCACTCATGCGCTCAAATGCCATTTTTGCTAGTAGTTTCTTTTGCTAGCACTCTGCTGGTGAAAACGAAACTCATGAGGGTCGCCCGTAGCGCTCAAGAGTTCTGTTTTTGCTGGCAGAGGCACCACGGACCGGTCCTTTGCTGTTTCCAAGACAGCCCCACGGACCTGATCTAAGTACCTGTGGGCCGGACTTGGCCCATAGGCCTTGAGTTTGACACCCCTGATCTATGCCAATTTATGCTTTTCTGGAGTTTCTCTAACTGCAGCTTTTCCGCACTATGATGTTGAGGGCATAGCACAGTTTTTTCCATGTGTGTGTGTGTGTGTGTGTGTGTGTGTGTGTGTGTGTGTAAACATACATGCATGCAAGCAAGCATGCAGTAAAGGTAAATGCCCAAAGAAAAGAACTATTGATAAGGGTACATGATTAAAAAAATTGGGAGACCATACACACTCTGCAGAGACCTGGAATTTAATTTTTGAATCTTTTTACAGAGCATCTGCTAGCATCGCTAAAATCACATTTTACAACTTTAGCAGGGGGGAAAAAACATTCTGACTCAAGTGACTTGCTCAAGTGGCTTGTAACTGAAGATAGCAAGGAGAAAGATAAAGAGGTTTCTTTAAAAAGGGATATATGGATAATCTTTCAATGCTTCTCATGAGGCTTTTCTTTATTTTATAAGTATGAACAACTGATATTTTTTAGATATTTCCTTCCCAGTCTTAAAGTAACAGGGCACTAGTTTCCATATATAGGTATGATCAACGTACAAAGAAAGTTTATTTTATTACTTTTGAAACCATAACCTTGTTTCTTATTTAGACTCTCAAAAATAAAACAGAGATGTCAAATAAAAAGAGCATAAAGGCTGTTTAAATCATTTATTTTCTAAGTGTAGGGGAAATATAATGCTGGTAAATCATTATGCATTACGATATGTATAAGAACAAATATAAAATAGGTTTATAATAAGAAAATATTATTTATTCTTGACTTTTTTATTTTCCTTATAAGATTATTGACATATATTATGTTTCAATATTTAAGGTTCAATTTTTCCATTAAAAAATCTAATGCAGTACTATAAATGCAACAATGAAACATTAACTCGGAATGATAAATACAGATAAATATTAGTAGAAACAAAATATTGTTGCTTTCCAAATATTTGGAGTCTATCAAAATAGTAAGGAAAATATGTTTACTTTATTAATTACCCAGATTTACCAGGTTAAATATTCTTCTGTATTCCAGTAGCTTTTTGGAAAGCAAATTTTATTTATTGATAAATCCGTAAGCTTTTAAGAATGCAAAGTATTCCATTCATATTTTTTTTAAAAAAAAAAAAAGATAAGTAATATGGATATACTGTATCTCTTATATGATGTCAAGATGATTGTTTATTCCTTGGAAACTATAGGAATGACAAATCCAGAAACAAAGCCAAGGAAAACTAGGTTTGCATTCTTGTATATAATTGCAAGTAACAATACAAAAATAGGAACTCAAGGCAGTGAATATACCTAAACCTCCACAACAGTAAACCTGTAAGGTGTGTTGGGTTGAGAGTGAGTGACTGGCCCAGAGACACCCAGCTAACTTTTGTGCCTAAGGTAGGACTAGAATTCGCACTCTCCTGATTTCTAGCCTGGTGGCTAAAATAATGTTTCTGTCACAATTTATCACCAGTCTCTAAGAATCTATTTCGTAGATTCTGGGGTAGGCATTTATATTCCGATTCCTTTGAACCATAATTTTAGAATCACAGAAACCTCCAATGTGTTCCCTCTTGTATATTGGCAATATACTTATGGATTAAATATTCTATGTGTATTCATTTGTTAACAAACTGACATCTTATATCATTTCAGGAATCTAGTATCATTAATAGATTACTGAAAGGATACTGAAAGATAACAAATGCTGGCTTTTTCTTTCTTTCTTTTTTTCCTGAGAGGATAAAGGTTGTCAAACATATTCAGAAAAAAACCTGATGCTTCTGTTTGAGCCCAGCATATATACCCGACCTTGTAAAGGCCCAGAAAATGGTTTAATTTGGTAACTAGATTAAGAGTGCTATATAAGACAATGGGTGCTTTAACAAAGATAAATCATTCTCCAGACAAATTAAAACTCTGGGAAAGCACAGAAGCAGAAGATTTCTAACTCTACAAAGATGGAGCAGGCAGTAGAGGAGAGACAGTACAAGATTAGGATGAAAAAAGATGTTTAAGACTGCAAGTAAACTCTGAGTCAATATCTTGAACTAAATCAATGACATTTTGCAACAAAGGGCCCACAAGAATAGGTAATGCCCCCATTCAAATATAAGTATAGGATTTTAGATAAAAAAATTAATGTCTCTGGGTTAATCAGAAAGGAATCTGTTCTGTTTTAAACAGTAAAAAGTAATCTCCACTGTTCCTAAACTGCTAAAAGAATGGTAAAAATTGGTCTGTTCTTCCCATCAAGATTCTGAATTTGTGTGTGTGTGTGTGTGTGTGTGTACACATATACACACACATCAGGGATGGATGAGATTTAATGTCAGGTAAGCGCTGGCAAGCAGTAATATATCTGTGGAAAATTCATTTTAATCCAACTAGAAGACACATGCACCACTCCTTAATTTAATCAGCAGAAGGTCATGAACACCACAATCACTCCCTCCCCTGCCCTCCCCAGCTCTAACTTGGCAGTTCCCCAAGTTTTGGCTGTTGTTTTTTTTTAACTAAAAATGGAAACGGGTCTGGATGGTATCTAAGAAAAGCTCAAGCTACGAAGTATAGAAATCCTACTGCCTGGACTTTTTCATAAAACTCTTCAATTTGCAGGTGTATCAGAAGGAGCTGTATCACATTATTTGTCTTTATGAATTAACTGTATGACAGGAGTAAGATGTTAAACTGAATCTATGAACCACAGTTTTGCATTAGAAAGCATACTTGAACTCACTTTGTTTTCTGAAATTTGTTTGGTAAGCTTTTCTTTAGAAGACTGTAAGAGAGCATGTAGATGGATCTCATACTGTCCAATTAACTTCTCCATTTCTTGCTTCTGGTCATCCCATTTTATGCTGTCAGTAAGCATGCATTTCAGCTGATGCTGACGTACTTCAACCCCATGCTGAGTACCATCCCACTGGTTCTTAACTTTCTCCACTGAAACAGACAGAAGATAAATCTCATCCCATGAAAAGACACCGAAAACGTTGCATCATCTTCATTTTTCTACTACTAAAACTAACCTTTAAAAAAAATTACTCAAATCAACATTGGATCCAAATACTATTATAGATTCCCATAATCCTGGGGAGGGGGTGTCAAATCTACTTCTATAATACAAACCCCAAAATACACAATATGCCTATCTTAATTTAACAATATTACGTTGGTTGACAATGTTATATTGTTTAGATTAGTGCCAGTATCTTTGATACCAAACTATCTTAGCAAAATATCTCTTATTCCATCTGCTTTTTTCTCATTCTTATTAACTTCCAATATAGGCATTCATTTTTATATTTTAAAAAACAGAAACTTAAGACAAAAATTGTACATAAAAACTGGATTGTTTAATCTTGTGACTTGCCAACACTGTTCAAAACATATCATATAATAAATCTTTTTTAAAACTCACATCTCCAAGTTCCAGTTCATTAATCTTTAAAACCAATGAAATCCAAAAATTTGAATATAAATAGCTAATGTCAAGCAACACCTTAAGCAAGATACCTCGCTATATTCTAAATATGGCAAATTTAAGACTTGTGGATTTCATCTCACAGTATTCCCCAGCCAGCATATTTGGATGAGGAATTCTGGGAAGTGAAGTCCGCAAGACTTAAAAGTTGCCAAGTGTGGAGACCTCTGCTATAAAACTTCATTCTCATTTCTTCCTTTTGCCTATCAGGGTTAAGGAGTCCTTGGTACTCTCTGAGCTTGCTTGTTTTCTTGCAAACATTTCATTACCCAAATTAGGTAACGTCGTCAGTGCTAGTGGGACTGACACTGATGATATTACCTAGTTTGGGTAATGAAATGTCTGTAAGAAAACAAGCAAACTCAGAGAGCACCAAGAACCCTCAGGTCAACCCTGAGCTACAAATATGCTCCTTTATTGGTATCAGGATTAAAACCTGCCTTCATCTCTCGATTACCCTCAATTCCACCTGGGTTATTCCATTCTATATCCATCATTTTGTCAATAAATCATGTAATAGTTATATATTTATTATATCATTTTAGTTCCCATTTCTTTACTGTTCAGTCTACTGACAAATATAACATACATTTCTCTGTGATTGCTGTCCTTAAGTCAGAACTTGATGTTTTGTTTTTCAGATTTTGAGCCAAAGTAAAAACTGAATCCAACTGGGGATGTCGATGTTCTAAATCCCCTTCTGTTATCTGTAACATGATGGAATAAAAAATGTGCTAGTAGTGACAGGAGTTTAAGAAAAACAGTTATTCAAACCAATGCTTCAAAATATTAACAAAGAAGTGTGTCTTAATCACTTTGTAATCTGCATTAAAAAGCTCTGCATTATAATCTGTATTCAAAATAAATAATAGACAGACCCAGTCAGAAATCATGATCTGATGTGTTGCGATCACAATTCCCAGAATTTCCAGGCAATAAGGTCATGATGTTGGCAATTTGGAATTATATAGTAACTCACACCTGGAGGCTACCAATTTAAGAAAGTTGAAATAGGGGTTAACCACCTGTTAGATTTGCATAGTAAATTTAGAGATTTTACTCTCGCAAAGTGAGTGGAAATAAAGCTGTATAAAATTCATATTGATTCATAAAAGGCTGCATACTTTCATACTTTCTTTCTAAGATTCCAAGAGACATTATTTATGTTTCTCTGCTCCAAGGATTTTTGTTCTCAATGTTGATCCCAGGTTTTAGACACTGTTTATTCAGAGTGTACTGTATTAATCAACAGGGATTTTATTACAGCAGAAGTTTTAATAAAATCCCTGTTGATTAAAACTTTCTGATTCTCCCCCCACCAACTGGGCAGTAGTAGATCTTTCCATCCCCCACCACCCAGTCCCAACTGTCAAGTACTTATCCTTCATCCCTTCCCCAACCTCCCCCATCACAATTGATGAAGTTTCTTGGATGAGAAATGAAAAGTTTTGTTATTCTTCAAAGAAAAAACAGTCCAGTTGTCTTTGGAGAAAGTACTTATGACCTGAATGACTGAGAATCTCCACAGACATACACCAGTAGCTACTTAGTTACTTAGCACTCACTTGCGCACTCGTTTGCTCTCCCTCCCACCCACACACATGTACACACACACAGGTATATACTGTAGATACACACATATTCATACATGCACACTTTTTCCTCGGCAAATTGCTAAGTAAAAAATATCTATTTCTGACCCTGTGCCATTAAACCAAATGCAAAGAAAAGGAGTCCCTGTGGATTTTCTCCGTAATTGTTGTTGTTGCTCATCTCCATTTTAAGGCCATGAAGAATACTTGATCTAAAAAATGACAGCTGAAAAGTTGAGATTTTTCTACTAACTTACATTAAATACCCTGTTTCTCCAACAATACGCCCTCCCCCAATAGGAAGTCCCAGCATGTTTTATAGGCATGAAATGAAATTAAGCCCCTCCCCCCAAATTAAGGCCTATATTAAAACATGCAAAATGGGGGGGAGGGAATGGCGGGGGGGGGCATGCTGTTAGGAAGTACTTTTGTTGCACACCCGGATATGGTGCTGCCTGCGTTGACCCTGATACAAAGTGCCCCACCAACGCCGAGATCAACATCCAAGCCATCGCCGCCCGCCTGCCCGAAGATGCAAGGGGTGGTGGATTAAGTCAACCCCGAAAAGACGGCCTAGCCATTTTTTCGGGGCTCAAAAAAATATAAGACCCGGCCTTATTATATGAGAAACACGGTATATTCTTACAAGCAATTAATTTGTCCATTGCTGTCTATGATACGTTATGCCCAGCTCTATCCTCAAGTTATTTGTTACAAATTGCATCCATATGCTGCTAACATCAGTAGCAAAGAAAATGTCAGCATAGGTTTCTGTAACCATTTCCCCGTTAACTTCTGTTGGCAAATTGTAAATGCCAGCATAAAATATTCTCATTTCTCCCGAAAATTCAATTGCAGCTTGACTAGAGCTGGATCTTAATGATTAACAATTCTTGAGCAAGGCAATTAACCTATTTCAATTTGAATTTAATTATTTTAAGTTGAATAGATGAGCTGAAACTAATAGTAACATTTCAGTTGAAGGTTACTCCAAAGAGGCAGAATCCTGCATGCTTCTCTGGGAAATTTTGATCCTATTGAATCTGAGGAAGTGAAGAAGACTCTTATAGCTGCTTCTGTGCAATTCAAAGAACTGTTTGTCGTCTTTAAAGCATTTCTTATCTTGGGACCAAGTTACATGAGGGACCAGTTGTTTCTAACTGTCCAATTTGGTCCAGCAAGTTGACCATGCTAAGGGTCCCATCAGCCAAGGAATGTGGGGTAGGAGGTATGCCATCTCTGCCATAGGCCTTGACCTCTAGAACTTTCTGCCTCCAGAGAGTAGGATGGCCCCAACCCTGTTGGCCCTTTGTAAGGCCTTGAAAAGCTGGTTATGAAATTAGGCCTGAGGCCCCATGTATGTCAAAAGTCAGTCAGTCAGTCTGTCTCTGTCTCTGTCTCTCTCTCACACACACAAACACACACACACACACACATGTATCTTTGCACTTGGTTTTAACTGATTTTATGATTATTTGCCACCCAGAGTCACTTCTCTGACTGAACAAACGAAAGAACAAATGAATAAAATACATACACAAAAGTGAACTTGTTTCTAGCAACAATACCCATGTTCAATATACCTGGCAGTCAATTTAAACATTGGACTGGTTTTAAAAAATAGTCAGACCCTGAAACAATGCCAATGTTTTATATGCCACTGGATGCAGGGGAAAAAATTAAAATAGGTATTCTAAAATGCATTATAGGTTTCCTGGGCTTCTTATGAAAACTAACAGTAAATGTGCACATTCCTGATCAAGCAAAGCTGTGTGCACCTGCTTCAGTGAGCAAATTTATGCTCAGCCTGACTCTGTGAAGCATGGCTCATTTTCTTCTATCAATGCTCCACAGCAGTTTCCTTGGGGCAGGGGAAAAAAGACAGCACTCCTGTATCTTAACAGAGTATGATGATGTGCAATCAGAGACACTGCACACAAAATATTATTCTGCTGCAATGGAATGGATTTAAGTCCCATGAACAAGAATGGGAAAAGTCCACTGAATTCCCTGCCAGTTGCTCTAAAATAGTTCCTGGGCAAGCAAGGAAAACAAAGCAATAATTTGCAGAATTGGGCGAACATTTAAAAAAGGCATTCAGTCTTCCTGACTAGTCATTGATACCGCTAAAATCTTGACACTACCAAAAATAAGCAGAAGAATGCTCTAATCCAGGAGTGTCAAACTCGATTTCATTGAGGGCCACATCAGGGTTGTGTTTGACCTCGGGGGCTGGGGTAGGCATGACCAGGGTGGACGTGGCCAGCTTGACATCACATGTGTCTGGACGCCTGTGGTGCCCGAGTCCTCTGCCAGTGAAAACGGGCTCCTGAGCTCCATTTTCACCCACAATGGCCTTTGGCAATCCTCTGTCGGCGAAAACAGAGCTCTGTTTTCAAAGGCAGAGGGCTGCAGGAGGCCGTCACAGTTGAAAACAGATCCTGGTAGGGCTGTGTGTGGCCCTCCCAAGCTCCGTTTTTGCTGGCAGGGGCACCACGGGCCAGTCCTTCGCTATTTCCATGGAAATCCTGAGGGCCTTGAGTTTAACACCCCTGCTCTAATCCTTATTCTTCTTTGGATTTATTTTCTAAATAATTGTGAAATACCATGACAGAATTTCACTGAACAACAACGCAAAAAAAAAAACCAGTGAAAGGGATTAACTAATATTCTAAGGCTTTCCAGTTGCACCCCAGAGCATCACATACCTTCATGCGTGCAATCATCCGATTGATTTCTTCAATATTTCCAACAGTAACTATATTGGACTTTAGCATCTGGTCGATCAATGCCAACCAGTCAGCCAATTCTGTCGTAGTCTGATCCAAATCAGCAGGTGTCAAGATTTCCAAATGATGCTGAGTTTGTGCCACATTTTCTGAGGCAGAAGACACAAGCACTGTTGTTTGGGGAACAGGGAAACCTAAACAACCAACATAATTGAATTGATATTTCAACTTGTATTTATTATCTAGAATTTATTTACATTGGAAAAGCAAAATACCACAATCCCTCTTGTAGTTCCTATTAGTCCTCTTGTACCTCTATTCAACACTAACCATTTAAAACTGTCAGGATTTTACTGTTAAGAGATAGGATTCTGAAAATAGCTTATTTCCATATGTCTAAATAGTCACCAATTCATCATTTAATTTAACCTCTAGATACATAACTAGAAAGATTGCTGCTGTCATTTTTTTTGCAAAATCTCAAATCTTTGACAGCTTGGTGAGGTGAGAGAAATTCACTCTCTGATTACCACATTCAAAACAGTTCTGAAACATTCAAACACAAGTCAGCAGTAAGCTGTCAGTGAGGGTAAACTCACAACCTGCTGCTCTTCTTAATTTACTATTTGGGGGGGGGGAGGAATAAATTGAGAACGTTCATTTTGCAGTCAAAGAAACGCCATTGATTTTCATAAGCGACATCTACTTCCTGATTCTCTAAATCATATAAATGGAAAAACACCCAAGTGCTAATTTTCAAAAAGTGCAACTACAAACTAGTTTCTCTTGTTAAGCGAATACATTACAAGTGCATTTTTCAAAATACATTTTATGCTCTTTTAAAGTAAAAGTATCATTTTTCTTCAAAAACAAAATAAACAGACATCTGCTTCTTTATCTACTTTAAGTTTTACTAAGATGACAAAAATATACCTAAATGTTTCTCCAAAGAGGTAATTTTCTGCTTAAGACTTACCAGAGGACTTTGGCACAAGATGCTGCTGATGAACATCCCGCTCCAATTCTCTCAATCTGGTGGGTGCTTCCTTGAACACCTAGTGTTGTGTGTGGGGAAAATAACTTTTATATTCTAAAGATTATGGGTATTGTTGTACAACATTAGGCAACTACAGAAAATTGTGGGAAGGACAATTAATATTTCACTAAACAGCCTACAGAAGATCAAGGGATTTGCAATTGGTCCTGAGAAGGTTTGGGAGATCTTTGGAAGCTCTACAGGTCCCTTAATATGGCATCAATCATTGACACTATTTTCTTCTGCGGTTAAGTACTTTAATGGCTTAATGAACTTCATGGAGTTTATTAGATTTAAAGGGAAATTCCCAAAACAAATATTCTTCCTGAAATTTTGATGCATTGGATTTATATCACACCTTTCCTCCAGGAACACAAAGTTGCTTACATGATATTTTCCCTTCATGTTATCCCAAAAATAATAACCAGAATAATAATTACTCAGAACAGCTTACAACCCCTAACAATACCTTTAACATCATCAAACAGCAACATCTGCAAATCTCAGGTCTCTGGAAAGGACTTGATAGCTGGATAAACAATGCCAAATATGTGTAAACATCTGGCTGACTGTATGCCCAACCAACATACAATTGTTGGTAGATTGGATAATGAGAATAATTGGTCACAAATCACTCTATGAGCTTCTACAGCCATGAGTAGATTAGAATTTGGATTTCCTCAGTCCTCCACCAACACCATAAATACTGTATCCTAGCAATGCTCATATCTGCTTCAATCTTCCTTTCCCTCTAAGCTTACTACACCATATTTCACCATATGCTAAAGTATTATTCTAGGATATATTTTTGGGCAGTGATCATTTGTTTCATTACATGAGCCTAAGAACTTTTACATTACTCAACAGTGTGATGAAATAAATGACTTTAGACAAGAACATCTCCCAAAATGAAAAAGCAGGCAGAAAAGCCATATAATATAATCCTGCTGTTTTCTTGTGAACCACCTAGAGCATGGGTGTCAAACTCGATTGTGTCACATGACATATCGTGACATGTCACGAAGATTTTTGCCTTTGCGGAGCTGGGGGGGCGTGGCCTGCACGTGACGCATCCGGCCCGCAGGCTGCCAGTTTAACAGGCCTGACCTAAAGTCATTAACATTGGGCAGTGTTAAATTGAATAAAATAAATACACTGCAATACTACTTCAAAATGCAGGTGAGAGTTACGTATCTGAATGCTTGCACTAATAAAAAGATGCTCCATAAGCAGCAAAGCTGACTACCAGATGATAGCTTCAGAGCTATTTTTCTATGCCTGTTAGGTTTTCATTTTTCCTGCAAGGGAACTAGGGCAATATTCAGTCTTATAGCAATGCCAAAGTTTTGTGGGTGTGGCTCTGAATAGTTGTTGAAGGAGAGAAAGGCGGCTTTGGAAACTGAAATTTCAGCTGAACTTCAAAAGATAGTTGAAGAAACTTAATATAAAAACTGAACACTGTGGAAATATACAATAATACAATACAATAAATAATTCTCAAAGATAGGTCCATCTGAACATATACGTGGTGCTGTACACCAATGTACTATTATTGCCGTAAATTTAAAGCAATGAAAAATTTACTAAGAATTTTAACACTAACTTTATCTAATAAGTTATCCAATTCTGTCCCATAGTCATGACTATCTTGCGTGAACACAACTAAAGGAACAATATTGAATGCACACAGATTAAAATGTATACCTTCTTCCATTTAATATTCAGGGTCTTCAGTCTATTAGCAATATTGTCTCTTTCCTGAGGCCCAATGCTTGTATTTGAAAGTACCTCTGCTTCTTTTCTATTTAGCCAGTTAAGTTTCTCTCCTTGTATATCCATTTCCTTAATCAGACCCTAAATGAGTAAAGACAGTGTCACTCATTCATTAAAAATTGGTTATCTCTTATAATCAGGGCAGTAATATGCTTCAAACTCTAAGAGCACAAAAAAAATCGCATTAAGTGGTTTTGACGACAAAAATCCAAAGAAGAATTTATTTTGAAACAAGTTCCAGATTCTATGGCTGCAAAAATGTAAGTAACCAATATTTGGTGTTGTGAACAGATTACAAATAAACCATAATTTTATTAATCATAACACATGACATTAAGCTAAACAGAAAAATATATAGTTTAACAAGTATATGGAAATCATATTTATATATGAAACTTCCAGATTATACTTTTCATCCAGTGGTTCCAACAGACACTTTGAGTAGTCCTAAATGTTATCCAACAACAATGAAAAGGAACATGATACAATAAATAAAATGCTTAATATTTTTAATGTTACTTGCCATTAATTCTTGTAAATTCTCTTCATGACTGATTGCAGGCTTCTCATCCAGGGAATTTTCTACATTTTCCACCCAGCAACTAATTTCTTCTAGTTTTCTTGTGAAATCTATTAACTGCTGATTTTTTCCTTTCAGTCTGAACAAAAACCCCAAGGTGGAAAATGAAACAAAATCACTATAAATATTGAAATAAATATAAAAGCAAAATATTCCTTCTATAGCTTACTAAGCATCTTGGAAATGATATACTACAATATTAAAAACAAGATTGAATGAACCAGATGCCTTAATGACGCAGATTCATATTGATTCCGTTTCTCATCCAGAAAGTCTTCAAATGTAGGCCTTAAGTCTTCAAAAAAGTCTTCAAATGTAGGTTTTAAGTCTTTAAAATACTTTTTTTCTCAGCAATACTTAGCAGTCTTATGAAAACATCGACTTAATACCCTGATAGAAAAATTCAACGAATTGACACATAACTTTCCATTAGATTAAGAAAATGTATGAAAACTATTTTTTCACCACATTATAAAAAAGATGTTGAGACTCTAGAAAAAGTACAGAGAACAGAAACCAGGATGATTAGGGGACTGGAGACTAAAACATATGAAGAACGGTTACAGGAACTGGGCTTGGCTAGCCTAGGGAAGAGAAGGACCAGGGGAGACATGATAGCAGTCTTCCAATATTTGAAGGGCTGCCACAGGGAGGAAAGGGTCAAGCTATTTTCTAAAGCTCCTGTAGGCCAAACAAGGAATAATGGATGGAAACTGAACAAGGAGATTTAACCTGGAAATGAGAAACTTTCTGACAGTGAGAACAATCAACCAATGGAACAGCTGGCCCTTGGAAGTTGTGGGAGCGCCATCACTTGAGACTTTCAAGAAGAGATTGGACTGCCATTTGTCAGAAATGGTGTAGGGTTGGGCTAGATGACGTATAAGGTCCCTTCAACTCTGATTATCTCTGATTAACTCTGATTAAGATTTTTTTTCATCTTGCCTTTAATACTTTTATAAATAACTCAACGTAGCAAGCATACCTAATATTTCTTCCTTCTCCTATTTTCCCTGCAACATTACCCTGTGAGGTAAATTGGGCTGAGAAAGAGTGACTGGCCTGCAGTCACTTAGGCTTTCATGCCTAAGGAGGAACTAGAACTTGAGTTTCCTGGTTTACCAGCCTGGTGCCTTGACCATTACCCCACACTGGCTCTCAACTAGATTAATATTGTTTTGATATTACTGTATGAATATGACAATCAACTTTATAGTAGGGATCATTTATAGTAGGAGAAATAGACTTTATAGTAGGGATCATTTAGGTTTTGAGGAAGAAATAGTTTTGAATGCCAATGCTTTCCAGCATACTTGTGTTAACATTTTGTGTTAATGCAAAATCTGTTTTTACTTGGATTTTATTCATTTTGGATAGAAGACTTCTTCAAAATTATTAACCCCCTGCCTACTAAGAAGCACTGAGAAATTTCCAACAATTTCAGAATATACTTTCTTCAGTTGAAACACCAAAGTAAACAAAAAAATCATGTAAATTAATAATTCAGATTCCAAAGCAGGGAAAACATGAAACAAATGCATGTTATATTATATATTATATAGAATATTAATGTAGCTTGAGTACATGATGTATGATATATGATTGATATATATATATGATATATATCATTGTATATATATCATTATTATATCATATATATCATTATATTTAAATAAATCACATTTAGAAACCACCCATCTCCTTTACAGAGTAATTCTGGAGAGTGCATAGAATAGTAACAGCTATGAAGCTGTTTTAGGGAACTGCCTTAGAAAATCTTTTAGAATAAAGATATGAGAAGTTTCTCTTGGTGAAAATCCACAATGACATTTCCAAATTTTAAAGAAATTTATCTCCTCTGCTACTAAGATATCCTCAAATCATAAGGGGTCTGATTACCTCTGTTGCCTTTCCATGACTTCAGCATTGATGTTTTTCCAGTGTTTATACAGCCCAGCTAGTTTTTCTTTCAGGAAGTTTCCATCCGTATTGGAAAGTTTCTGGATTATTTCCTCTCCTGTTCTATTCAGTGTTGAGAAACTGAGTTTATGGCTGCTGATTCCCTCTTCAAGTTCCTGTTGAAAATGTATATATATATACATACAGTCCCCTGTGCATCATGCCCGGCCACATACATTGGACAGACCAATAGAAGAATAAGTACCCGCCTGGATGAACACAAAAATGCAGTCAAAAAGCTGGAACACACTTCCTCACTAGTCCAACACATGAAAGTCACAGGTCATAGCATCAACTTCAATGGCACCAAAACCCTAGCCACTATAGAAAACCCCAGCCACAGAATTATCAGAGAAGCCATAGAGATTGAAAAAAGACCTGAAAGCATGAATTCCACCAGACTGTCAATTATTTGGAAGCCTGCACTCACAAACAAAAAAATCTCCACACCACTAGCCAGGCAAACACCTGGGCACAAACAGATCCCCCCTGATACCTCCAGCTCAAACACACCCCAACCAGGCACCCAGATCAAACCTAGCTTCCTAACAAATGATGGCCGTCCATTTACTCGGAGCCAAGCTGCACTAAAAGCCTCCAATACAGGAACACAATGTTGCCAACCAATCAAGACACACAAAAAAGCCACAAAACAGACAGAAGATATTAGAAACACCAATCAAGCAGAACACAGCAAACTCCAAGACCAATAAACACAGACCAAGACTCCCAACCAATCAGGATGAAGAAAAAACCATTCTGGCACAGCAGTAGGCTAGCCCCAAATTTAAATCTGAAACCACTGTAAAAGTCTGACCCACAGACGAACACAATACAGAAGCCTGATGATGGCAGATGAGATTCTGCCGAAACGTTGCTACAACTTTAAAAGCACAACTATAATGATGTGGGAAAATACCCGAACAAAGCTGAATTCCATATATATATAGGTAGGTAGCGGTTTCAGTTTTGACCCAGAATATCTATATCAGATGTTATCTCTGCTGCAAGAAGATGGATTTGTGACAACTGCTGTTCGTGCATCTGGACTGGACTTCCTTTTTCCTAATCTATGTGAGGCTGCTTTTTTTAAAAAAAAAAAAACTGAGAAGTATTATCTACTACTAGTAAAGACCATTAGTTTGGAGCCCATGTATCTCTTTCTGCAAAGGGCTGCCTATTTGCTTCTAAGCTTTGCCCAACATGCTCTCTCAGGGGTATCAAACGTGTGTTGTCATGTTGTCATCACGTGATGTATTTTTCTCCTTTGCTAAAACGGGAGTGGGAGTGGCCAGCACATGACGCATCTAGACTGTGAGCTGCAAGTTTGACACCCCTGCTATATCTTCTCTTCAATATTCTCAGCAACTACATTTGAGTTTCTGATATTGCAAAGACTTTCTCCTTTATCACAAACGTGCTCCCCCTCTCATTCACACACAGACTTAACCTCCGTAAAATAAAGTCCTGCCCTCAGCTTCATATGAGGAGAAAGATACAATTGTCTCTACTAGGAGCAAGACTTTCTCAGCAGCAGATGTAATGCCTCCTCTAGAACAACAGGTCTGAAACCCTACTAGTAAGTGTGTTTAATATAGCACCCCTCTCCAAATGAAACTAAAGCACTGGCTTCTTACTTTTTTCAATTCACTATATTTGTTTCATCAACAACTTTGGAAACTATGCAAATAATTTCTCAATACAATTCATGTAGGTTAACTTTATGTTTTAATAGGGCTAAGCATTGCATTCAGGCAAAATGTGATGGCACAACCTTGGGGGCATAACAGTGGCCCCTTTGATTTACTGGCAGTCTCAACAGAAGTGTTATCAATGTAATATATGCACAAACCTTTGAAGCATCCACACTGGGCTTTGAAGGCAGCACCAATGCCTTTTGCAAAGCAGTCTTTTAATTGCTTTGTACAACTCCTAGCTGACAACATTACAAAAGCTGACAATTGCCACTTTCTTCTGTGACAACAATAGAATTAAAGGCTCTAACTAGAGTGCTGGGCTTAATACACAGTAATACACAGTAATCAGTTACCTGCTGGTGTATCCTGGCTTTTTCTATATCCAGGCTGCCATCTGGAGCATGGGCTTCAGCCAGCAACCCTTCTGCTTCTGTTAGCCACTGTGAGAGATCATTTAGATCACAATGGAACTGTCTCCACTCCTCTATAGACTTATCAAAACTACTAAATGGAATAAGAAGAACAGGAGAAAAAATGAGGAAGGTAAAAAAATAAGGAAGTAAAACAAGATAATTTTGCACTACAGAATACATACATAGTAAGACTGCAAAATAGAATGTGTATGCAAGTGAGTGTGTGAACATATGTAGAAGACAACAGATGCAATCTTGGCAAATAGTTTATTTTGGCTTATTCGTGTTGAAAACAAAGATATTTAAAGCCCAACTTTAAATAAAGGAAGCACTATTCACACTTTTGAGCCATCCATTTATAATTTCTATCATTTCAAACTCATAAAGAAACAGAAAGAGAGTGCACAGCCATACGGGCAACTTACAACATTTAATTCCTATTTAAAATCAGTTTGTCTATACTTTGAAGCAAATGTACCCAGATTAATAATAACTCTGGGACACATGAATCACAATAAACTAGTTCTATTAGCTGGAACTCCAGGAAAAAGAATCAATTTTACAGACTTAGCCATAGAGTTGGCCCTCATTCATTCCTCATATAGCCAAATTTCATAGGAAACCAAGTTGCTGAATATGTGAGTGTATGAATATTCATGTAGCACACTTTTTTTCCAAGTGGAAGCCAAACATGAGACATAAACTTCTTAAGGTCACTGGTGCCATTTGCCAGATTTACAAGCAAAGAGTAACAAGCTAAAATTAAATGATGGTTCTAATAAGTACCAAGAACAGATACTATCCTTCTTCAGAGAGTAAGCCTTCCACTATGCCAAGCATACCAATCAACAGAATGTTTCAGTGTGTCTTCTATCACTCTTTTCCAGGAAACAAAATGAAAGGACCACAAGTAAATCCAACAGACATTTCATCTGTCTCCATAGGATCTAAAAGAAATATTCTTCTCAGTGCTATCTGATAAGGCAAGCTACTCAAATAGTTCCACTACAATGTTTCATCCATCCTACTACAAAATATAAACATGTTTTTCCTCTTCTTCTTCCACCTCCTCCTATTATTTTAGGTTAGGTGTACTGCTCAGCCAACCATCAGCAGAAACTGTTTCAGCACTTGGATGGTTTCCTTTTTCATTTGGGGGAAGGCCTTTCCTTCGTAAGAATTTCTAGTGAAGATGGTAAGAATGTGAGCATAACAACTCCAGTATTTACTCCATCCATCCCCCCTACTTGTGCTTCATAAGCAACACTGTGAAGTTGGCCATCATTCATTCCAGGGGCACCACTTTATGAGTCAAGACTGTCCATCACTTGGCAGAAAAAGGGAAAGGGAGAACAGGAAAAAGAGTCCTTCCTGATATTATCTGTCAATTAAGGAGAGGAAACAGAGCAATTGAATAGGAGGAAAGTGAACCACCTGTAACAAACTGCTGAAAGTCTTAAGGGTATCTTGCCTAGAGACACCTAATTGTTCCACTGCTCCATGGGTGAAAGAGACATTATGTGGTAATATAACCTATTGATCATTTTATCATTTTCTGTAAGGCCTTTGTATAACTAGCAGTAAGTCTAGGAAGATGTGGGCATTCTTGGTGGGGGTAGGAGTATCTTTGCTCAGAGTGCCTCATTCTGTTTTGATTCTGCCAGTTTAGAAGGAATAGGAAAATGGGTGAAAGTTCAAGGTACAAGGTACACAGTTGTGCTTTCTCATGGGACTTTCCAAACTTTCCCATGAGACTTTCCGTGGCTGTATGATCTCATCCTAGCAAGGTAACATCTGGGACTTTCCAAGATTGTGTGTTCTCATGCTGTTGAAGTAATCTCCTGTTGAGGTCATTGTTTTCTGAATATGCATACTGTATATTTTGCTTGTGTGTTTTCTCAATAAATACTGCTACCTGAGTTCTCTCAGGGTTGGCATTTTTCTCAGAGACAGTTCCCTGTGTCTCATTTCAATGTCAAACCACCATACATTACAATTTTCAGGTCATTACAGCTGAAAAAAGTGTTTTTTTCCTCAACAAAATCTGCAACAAAATCTTCCTAATGAGGAAAAATAGGAGGACATTTATATTCCACATAGTAAACCATAGCTTTCTATGTCATTATTTAGAGATATATTGTTATTCCCAGTTGTGAGATATAGCTACAATTGAACCAAACTGTTTTTGTATCCCAAGTTGACAGGAGAATTCTTCCATATTACAAAAGACTTATTCATACCAGTCTTGGCTTTAAAATCTTGGCTTTAAAGAAGCCTACTTACTTTTAAGTACAATGCAAAATAAGATACATTATTTATGAGATTCAAGAACTATCTTATCCTGCAATGAATCAGCTAGGAAATCTGCTTGTTGTATTTCACCAATTGACTATGAAGTTTAATTTCTCTTTTAAAACGGGAAGGTTTGCCTACATCATTGTTAATTTAATAAGATCATTTGAGTTTCCAAATGAATGATGGAGCTTCAAATATAGTCATGGCACAAATGTCTGGAAATACCGAGGAAGAATTTTTTTCTAATGCCTGCAGTGCACAAAGAGCAAATACAAAACTCTTTTTGAAAACAAGTTCAAATGATGATGCTAGGGACTGATGCAATTCTACAGGTGCAGTCTTTAAAACTATAGGGAACAAGAATGAAAATGCAATGAAAAGAGTGTACATGACGTTTGTGCAGATTCCTATATTCTCGTGAATTAATTGGCCTACATTCTTGTGACTTAAAAGAAATCCCAGTAAACAGAGGTCTCAGCTGGCTACAATTTATCTTTAAAAAATCATCAAATGCTAAAAGAAACAGAGAGAAATGTCTAAGATGCAGCAACTGGTTTGCTTTGTAATTTGCAGAGAAAAAGAGATTGAGAACAAAAGAGTCAAGTTTTTCTCCATTCCATGCTTTTCATATAGTTAAGAACACGATGGTGCCACTTTAATTTTCATTTTTAATTTAATACATAGTTTCCTTACACCACCTAAATTAACATTTCTTGGTTCCCTGCCTGATAGTTTGCATAGTCGTTTGCTAAGCAACTTTGGCAAATAAACAATATTTTATAAATAATATTTTAAAATGTTACCCTATTTACATCCAAACTTATCACAGCTGGTTTATACTGCAGAGACAGTAGAGCTACAAAATGGCTACTACCTGATTTAGTCTCTTCTCTGCCTAACTCATCACATTTCCTTGGTGAAAAACTGTAAGTACAAAATATAGACAGTCCTTTTACTTACCATTTGCGATCATTGTACAATCTGTTAATTCGATCCCATTCTGCATTAAGCTGGGTTAGTGAATCTTCTATTTGAACAGCTTCAGGTCCAGATGCCTCTAGTGTAACATCAGGTTGTTTTTCATGAATAACAGCAATCTGATCCTCTAATTTATCCAACATATCTTTTATATTCTGTAATACAGTAAAACAAAAATACCAGGCAGAATTAGCATCCACTCAAAGATAACGGCCAGCTGGAAAAATAGAGCCTGATTAGATGGCAACAAACATCAGTATATAAGTATATTTACATCTTTCATCATTTGGCTCATGGCTTAGAATGATGCACGCATATGCATGCAGTATAAATGGTTTACTTTGGCTCAGCACAATGTCTGAAGGCATCCATTACAGCTCAACATTATAAGCAAACTAGACCATTAAGGCTTGCTCAAGAAACAAAAACAACGATGGTCTTAGTAACTTTGGAAGCCAAACCATGTCTCCCAGATTAGGGAGTACATAATATAATATACAGTATATGTGTGTGGATTTTGTTTGATCTGGCCCAATACAGCTTTCTAATAACATACTTCACGATGGTCTTTATCTAATTTTTTCCCATTCCTTTTCAAACTTTTCCACTGCTTTTTAAAATGATCCAGTGTTTAGTTTATTAAATGAATTGTTTTATATGTCCTGAATCTAACAAGTGATAGGATTGGTGATGATTCTAGAAAAATTAGACCCAGGTGCCTATAAATCAAGACATATCCAAGACAGAACCCATTTTTTTCAAGTCAGAAAGCATCTTGAGATATACTGCCATGCACTGGAGTTAAAACATTTATTGAGAAGAATGTTAATGCTCTCTTATATTTTGAATTGTAATATTAGATTTCAGGTTCTAGTACCTTTAATGAATCTTCTTGGGTAGAAAAGTCTTCATAGATTGCTGAATGAAGTTCTGGAGCATTTAGCAAGAGCTCAGCATCAGCTATAACCAGCAAAATCTTGTTAATTTCAACCAGGTATTCTGCAGGGAATGGAGATTCCCTGGTCATTGATGACTGAGACCCTTGAATCCTTTGTGGAGTTGCCTAAAGCAAAATAAACTTCAGTTAACTAATTCTTTAAAACTAACCTTATTATAAAAATACAAGAAAGGTTCATTTATTTGCATTTCCATTATATTCTAACTTTACAATTTAATGCTATTTTTTATTAAATAATTCTTCAGATGATGCTCTATTATAATTACAAGGAAGTCTTTCCACGATGACTAAATCAGGTGTTCTCGTGAATTAATTCCTCTTTTCCTTTTGCTTAGCTTTCAACTATATGCCACATAAATTACTAGATAAGCAAGTATATAATAGGGTAAAACAATATTCGAATCAAACAATGATATCCTTTTCTAATTAAGTAGTTCCAATTGCATTAAAAAGGGAAAGGATTATCTCTCCCTACACACTTTATTCTCCTGAAATATATATATATCCACATTCTGATAATCTTTAGTTAATACAAAAATATACACTTCAAGATCTATTGCAATATTACTTACACCCAGAGGTTTCTTTCATTAACCAGGTACCTGAACCATAATTTCCAGTTCACAAAATTACTTTTCATAATAGTACAGTTATTGTAAAACAAGGAGCTACTGGTATAGTCTCACTTGTAACTCCACCCAGAGTATATGAACCAATTACTCACTGCATATTTATGAGGAAGATAACCTCATGAAGCCTATTATTTAGGGCTCCAAAAGAACACTGTATATTTGGAAATACTACTACAGTAAATCAGTGGCTTTTCTTAAGTTATAGAGTCTAATAAATTGATATAAAATTAAACTAAATATATTTCACAAATGTTCTCAACAGTATCAAATAAAAATGTCCATTCTCATTTAAATACGTAACAATATGACTACATAGGGAAAACCAAAACGACATGCACCAAATACCTTTGGAATATGTCTTACATTTAATTTTATTTTATTAAAATATTACATTTTCATGATGAAGCTAATGAAACCTCATTGATCAATGTACTTTTGGTATGCATTGTTCAAAATTTGCATGTGATTCCAAGTATCAATCCTCTGCCTGAAAGCGTCTAGCAAATGTAGAAAGTTGTGATTGATCAGTGATAGCAAAAAAAAAAGAAGTACTTCAGAGATCAACACTTTTAAGGCTTAAGCTTATGCCAAGGAACTCTATCTGCATAACTATCCTGTCTTCCCATCACCTCCCCATTCCAAGCTCTTTAAATAATACATCAGTCAAGCTACTTCATGCTTCTGACACATGAAATAAGTTGTAGTTCATTAAAGCTTATGCCTTAAATAACATTGTTAGTTCAAAAGCTGCTACCAGACCCAGGTTTTGACTAGCAAATGTTAGTTTAATTTTTATTTCCATTTTTATTTCAATTTTGCACTTTTGATTGTTTCCAAGGGGGCAAATATATAATTAAAACTTTATCATCCTCTGTTTCCAGGCTAATTCAGTGATACTTGAAAATAAGCAAATCACATACCAATGTCACCAACACTGTGATTCACCAGTGGTCTATCCAATCAATCGCTTCTTTGGTTATCAGAACAAACTGGAGATGTAATATTATGGGGCTCTTACCAGAAGAGCTACTAACAAAAGAATTAGATCTCAAATGAAGCGCACTGAAAGATGGCTCCCGCAGACCTACAAGGGCCCTTCCAACTCTGATTATCTCCTTATACGATGTGATTTCTGAAGAGCCATGTTTTATAACATTAGACCATTATCTGAGAGATATAAGTTTTAAATTATGTTAAACATTTAATTGTAAATTTGGATGCCTAGATGCTAGTGATAAAACAATAATGGATGCTAATCTTCATGGCTTCCAAGGGCATCTGGCTAATTACTGTGGGAAATATAACATTGGAGGTGACTGCTCCTAGCAAGGTCATTCATTCAACAAGACACACAGTTACTGCTTCTATTAATTAACATTGCATCCTACCTTTCCTGCAAGGAGTTCCTATTAGCTAGAAGTGGTTGCTAGATAAAATAGAGGCAATATATACTAGATTAAAAAAAATCCCCAATTGGCACATTTCTAAAACGTGGTCAGTCAAATCCTGACACACAAAAAGTGATTTATTTGTTTTCTGAATAACACTGTTGGAGTCCATTCCAGAATGAAGGTCATTAAGATCCCCAGTAGCAAAGTCTTAGACAGTTGCAATATTGATCAATTGTTTGGCACAATGTAGGTGGCAAACAGGGAAGATTAATGGGAAGCTTAAACCTCTGGTCAAGGTTCAATTCAAAATGTAAGGGAAAAACTATAATTTATTAGATCCCTTAAAATAAAATGCCTTTGAAACAGAAAGGAAAGTTTGGGTAATCAACAGTGAGTAGGGGAGTGGGCTGAGAGAGAAAATGTGAACTAGGCAATATCAAGATAAAAATTAAACCTTGGGGTGGGTTCACATCAGTAGTGGTTTTCAGCTGGTTTGCACCAGATCGGGCGAACTGGTAGCAAGGATTTGGTGTAGGTCGCCGAACCGGTAGCGACTTCTGGCTGGCCATGCTCCCAGCTGCCCCTTCCAGCTGCTCGCTGCTCGCTGACCTTTTTCAGCTGCTTGATGCTCGCCCTGCCCACCCCCGCCCTATATATGTTCCCTTCTCCACATGGCCCAGTTAATTGCCTCGCCGGTTGCCTTGCTGATGCCTGGTCAGCTCAGCTTAGCAAAGGTAAGCAATGCATGCCACCCATGCTGCCCGCTGACCCTTCGCCTTGGGTTGGGGTCCGGGGCCCCAGGGACGCACTATTCCCTGAGGCCCTGGAACCGCCAGCTCTCTCGGCTGGGTTGGGGAACACGTGATTCCCCAGCTCCAGCCTTGCCCCGGAGCTGCCACCCACTCGCCACCCGTTCTCCCTTAAGCACGATGCGTCACCCATTTTCCCCTCCTTTGGAGGCCCTGACCTGGCCCTTAATCTCGCTTCCTCCCCTACGACTGCCTCTTTTGTCGTCCATGGCCACGACCTTACCTTCCTCCCATGGCTGGCTGCCAGGGAAGGCAAGCCAGGGCTGAGAGCCACTGGGCTCCCTGCCAGCCCACATCTCGCCCCCCCTTGTTGCGAGATGCCTGCAGCCACTGCCTCTTTTTTGGGGGGGAGGGTGCGAGAAGCCTCCCAAATGATGTCTCTTTGCCAGCCAGAATCGAGCCGGCTGGCTGGAGGCTTCTTGCATTGAAAACTACCGGCCTCTGCTTTTCGAATGCACCAAAAAAGAGCTTCACTGCCACCCTGGGCAAGTACCTCCACTCTGGCACAGCAGGCAATGGGGTGTACCCTGGTATGAAGAACAGGGCGGTGAGTCCCAGCTGCTGCTGCTTTGCCAGCCAGAACCGAGCCAGTAACCCACGCGCCGTCTCCTAGAAGAAGGTCCCGGGACCTCACATGTGCACACGTAAGGCTGGAACTTTCTGCAAGGAGAAGGTGTGTTGGCGAGTCCCTCTGGCGCACCTCAAGCTCTGTGTATGCCTGAGAAGGAGGAGAAGACTTTTCTGCCTCCTTCCCTTCACTCCGCTGCTACTTGGAAGGCAGCCACCCCAGCCAGTTCCTTTAAGGTACTTCGATGCAGAGGGAAAAAAGCGACAAGCAGGGTGCAGGAGCTGACTTCTGACTCCTGGCCGAGTCTTGCCGTGTCCCTGTCCCCCCACCAAGAAGGCTCCAGTTGCCACCTCTTTGCTGGAAGGAGGATCCTCCAGCTGCTGCTCCCAACTCAGTTCCAGCCAGCAAAGAAGTGGCAGCGGCTGTAGGCTTTTTGCAACGAAAATTACTGACCTCCAGTTTTGCTCTGCTTCTCGAAAGCACCACCACGGCCGCGTCCTAGGCACCAGCCATGAAGGTCCACCCCATTGATTGCTGCACTGCTCCGCTCGGACTTGCACTCAGACTCTCCAGTGCACTGGGCTCAATGGGGTGGACCTAGAACGCGGCCATGGCAGTGCTTTGGAGAAGCAAAGTTGGAGGCCGATAATTTTCTCTGCAAAAAGCCTACAGCCTCGTCTTTTTTTTTGGTGTGGGTAGGTGGGGGGTAAGGCTGTAGCACACGCTGTGCTTGAATTTCCCAGCCCTTAATTTTCCACAAAAGTGGGAGGGGAGGAAGTCCCACCTGCGGCCCCTTTGTTGGACCCAGAAGCCTTGCCTGATGGCTTTTTTGGGCAATGAGGGACTAGAGACTGGCTGGGAAGAACCCTCGTACTGACACAACGCTGCCGGGCTCTTGGAAGGGTGTGTGTGTGTGTATGTGTTTCAGGTGGGTGCTTGGAAGCATGTCTGTGTCTGTGTGTGTTTCAGGTGGGTGCTTGGAAGCCTGTGTGTGTGTCTGTGTGTTTGTTTCAGGTGGATCTCCTCTCCTAGCTTTATTTTCCCAGCCCTTAACTTTCCCCAAAAGTGGGAGGGGAGGAAGTCCCTCCCGCGGCCCCTTTGTTGGACCCAGAAGCCTTGCCTGCCCAGAGACTGGCCGGGAAGAACCCTCATAATGAGCGATGCTACTGGGCGCTTGAAAGCATGTGTGTGGGGGGGTTCTTGTTGTTTCAGGGGGGTGCTTGGAAGCCTGTGTGTTTTTCAGGTGGGTCTCCTCTCCTAGCTTTAGAAGGAGAGAGGGAAGGAGGAAGGGAAGGGGTAGAAAGAAAGGGAAAGAGAGAGAAGGAGGGAAAGAGAGAGAAAGAGAGAAAGAGAAGGGGAGAGAGGGAAAGAGAGGGAGAGAGAAAGAGAGAGGGGGGAGAGAGAAAGACAGAGAGAGAGAAAGAGAGAGAAGAGAGAAGAAGAAGCATAGACAAAGAAAGACGAGATGGAAGGAAGGGAGAGAAAGAAAGAAAGAGGGAGGGAGGAGAAAGTGAATGAGATATATGGATGAATGGATGGATGGATAGATACATGGAAGGAGGGAGGGAGGGAGAGACAAAAAAAGAAGAGGAAAGAAGGACACAAACCCTGGCTTCAGAAGATTCTTTGAAACAGCACATCAATCTAGGGCTGGAAGGGTTCTCAGAGGTCATCTTCTAGTCCAAAGGTCTTCAAACTTGGCAAG